GCAGCAGGGGGAGGGGGGCCCGGGGGGCCCCATCCCCGGTGGCCCGCGTGTGGCTGCCTTGTTTATCGCTGCAGCTGGAGCCTCAGCCGCTCGCCAGCTCTTGATTCATTTCATATGTGCCGTTGGTTTTCCCCAGCCTGCTTTTTTTGTTGTTGTTGTTGTTTTAAATCAAAATGTCCTCTTGCACCAGGGCAGACGCTGTAGAAAAGGCCGAGTAAATTGTATCGGCGTCCCCATCCACCAAACCTCGCAAGCCAAATTAGGTCGATGCCATCTCTTCCAGAGCTCACGCCGCTGGCCGCACCCAGCCACCCTCCGCTGGTGTGGCCTCCGGACAGACTCCTCTCTATTCTGGCCGTGGCCGACATCGAGCTGACAGCCCGCAATTACCTGGCCATCCTGTTTGCTCTCCTTAAATACCAGTTACAGTACTTGCTTGCTCCAGCCTTTGGGAACGTTACCAGCATCTTTGAAGTCCTGGAATGAGAAAGCCAGAGCGCTCCTTGGCAAACTCCCCTTGTGTGTGAGCTGCGGAGTTGCTGATGTTGGGGAAAAAGGAAAAAAAAAAAAAAAAAGAGAGATTTAACAGCTGTTTTCTTGGAGTGCGGCACGAAGATGGCACCAGGCTCCGTCTCGGCCCTGTGCACGGAGAACATCTGCCCGTCCTGCGCTTTTGCCGATGTTCCTGGGTAGCGCGGGCCCACAGGGCCGCCTGCGCTTCTCAAGGTCCCTCCAAGCTCTGCCGTGCGGGGAAGGCGCGGACGGAGCCCCACACCCCCAGATGTTCAGCGGTGCTCAGGGACGCGTGTGCAGGGAAATGCTTCGGCACAGCCCCTCCGGGCGGGCTCCGTGCTCCCCGGCCATCTGGAAACGCATCTGCTGCAGGGCTGGTACCTTCCCTCCACGCCAAAAAGCTGACGGGGAAAGTGAGGGATGCAACGTCCCCGGCGGTGGGCGTGAGGAGCCAGGGGGAGGCTGGAGGAATCGCCCCCAGCGTCCTGGGCCAGGGGGTCTTTGCTCCGGCCGCAGCGGGAGGAGCGGTCCCCGGGCGAGGGGCTGCGGTCCCCGGGCGAGGGGCTGCCTCCCTGGCCACCCACGAGTGGCATCAGGGGGACACCGGGGCCAGGCTGGGCCGATGCCGCCTCTCCCGTGGCTCTGCCCCGCTCCTGTTTCTCCTGATGGGCAGGTGCCTGCAATTAGGAAGGATCCCAAATGAGAAGGCGCGGAGCCCAGACTTGTTTTGCGGATGATAAACTGCTGCAGCCTGCCCCACCCAGCCCGGCTGCGGGCGTGGGGCTCAGGCGTGGGGGGCGCGGCCGTGGGGTGAGCGGGGCCCCGGCGGGCAGCACCTGCAGCCCCCCGCTGCGCCCATCGCCTTCTCAGCCTGGCGGCGAGGAGCGGGGTGCAGCCGTCCCTGCCGCGGCCGGCTGGCCCCCGCGGGCGCCGCG